AAGTAGCCACGGTGCAGCCGGGTAAGAGGAGCCAACGGCAAGGTTTGCTCTAGGTGCCCAAGGACGAAACGGAGAGCTCGGAGCATTCTCCGAAGCTTGAAGTGACTGAAGTTGTGGACAACGTCTGGCACTATGTCCGGTGATTTGACACAGCTGACACTTGCCCAAATACGGCTTTGAAAAGCGACCATCGGGTCTGTTTTTGTGCTGCGAGGGCTGCCAGTAAGAATTGTTCTGGTTATAGCGCTTACCAGAGTTATTGTTGCGGTTGTTGGACTGGTTGTTGCGGTGCTGAGCGTTGTTGGCAGAGGCTGGAAGTAGGGACGTTGAAGCTGCTTGTTTGGACAAAAGCTTGGATTCATGATTAAGTAATCTCTCATGAACCTCTGTGATTTGCGGAGGCTTGTCTTTGGCAGCAATCTGGTCAATAACTGGCTTGTAGTCATCGGGAAGGCCTTCTAGAATGTGTTCGATTTGATCATCATGTTCGAGAGGACTTCCGAGAAGAGCCAACGTATCAAGACGAGATGTGATGCCCTGAATGTATTCGTCAATTGTCATGGCGCCTTTGTGGAAAACCTTGAGTTGGTCCTTCAACGTGCGGATGTGGGTGCGAGATGGATTCGCATAAGTGTTGGCAAGTTTCTCCCAGATCTGAGCAGCCGTGGTTGTGCGAGTGACGAGCTGCTGGAGTGGTGAGGAAATGGATCCGATGAGTGCACTATAGATCAACTTATCCTGTCGCTTCCATTTGGTGTAGGCAGGATTTGGAGAGGTTACGGATCCAACCGTAACAGTGGCAGCAGGACCTTCAGCTTCATCGAGATGTTTGGTGAGTTCATAGCCATCTAGGAGAGAGTGGACTTGTAGTTTCCACACAATGTAGTTTGTGTTGGTCAGCTTTGTTATGTTGGACATATTGATGTGGTGAACGGTGTTGGCGTTTATGGTGATGGCGGTATTGTTTTCTGTGTTAGCCATGGTGACGGCTCACGAGAAAGAAGAAAAGAATTTTAGGTTTTTTTTAGGAGTGAATGCTCTGATACCATATAAGGATTGAAAATATCTTATTGATTGAGAATGAGGCTTACATCTATTTATACAATCCTAAGGGAATTAGGGTAAAACTAATTTACATAATTTACAATTAGATCCTTAAGTTAGTGTTACTCTTATATATGTT